CTTGCTTTTAAGGTGGGTGGACTACAGCCCCCAGAATCCCCAGCCTAGCTTGCTTTTAAGGTGGGTGGACTACAGCCCCCAGAATCCCCAGCCTAGCTTGCTTTAAGATTGGTGGGGAGGGGGGGCTTCAAGCCCTATAATTCCCCAGCCAGATGCTTTGAAAGGGGTGGACTCCAATTCCCCAAATCCACCACCCAGTCTGTTTTAAGAGGTTTAAGATGGATGGCCTTCAAGTCCCATAATCCCCTTTATGGTGAGTGCCCTTTGTCTCCCAGAATGCTCCACTCCTCTTGCTTTAAGATGGATGAGCCATGAGGCCCAGAAATTCCCAACCAGTTTTAGGGTGGGTGGATTCCAACCCCCAGAATTCCCTAGCCAGCGGGGTGTGGGATTCTGGGAATTGGAGTCCACCCACCTTTAAAACATGCTGGCTAGGAATTCTGGGAGTCGGCTCATCAAAAAAAAAACAAAAAAAAACCCTGAGGTTGAGAAATGCAGTTTTTTTGGGGGGTATTTGTCAACCTTCCTTTCCCCATTGCAAAGCTGGAAAAATAAACCATCTCCTCTTGTTCAAATCTCCTTCCTGTGGATAGTTATAGATTTACCTCTTAATTTAAACTCTAAATTAACTCTTATTTATTGGATTTGTCTCCTGTGTTGCTTGATCCAACGAAGGCTGTTAGGGGAGAATGTAATGAAGGTTGCCTGGGTTCTTTCTGTTTGGTTGGATTTGGTGGAAACGAAAAAAAAAATGGATATAAGCAAGCAAAGCACGTATATTCTGGTTTCGGGTAACCTTAGTTAATGGACAACGGACTTTTTTTTTTTTTTGTACTGAATGTTGTGAATGTAGTAGAGCAGTTGCTAAAGCAGTTCTGATGTGGGTTGGCTTTGACCTATCTTGGTTTCTGCTTGGAAAAAAAGGGCTGGCTGGGCTGTTTTGCAGCATTTGGGGCAATGGCGAAATGGTCTGTTTGTGGGGCACTCCTGAATGGTGTTCCTGTCTGTCTTGTACCTGAAGCAGAGAGGTTGGGCCTCTTTGGCGAAGACTGGTTCTACAAGCCAGGTGTTCTGGTGGCTTCCAGAAAGAAGGATGAGGATTCAATTATGTAGGTTGGGAATGGCAAGAAATTAGTAAGTCTCTTAGTCATCTTCAGCTGATTGCTGTTCTTTGAGGAAAGAATGCCATATAGTGGCCTTCTAGCACTGATAATCTTACCTGGTTGGGTAATAAAACGTCTGCAAGAAAACAACAAGGACCCCACGGTCCTCTTCCCCCTTTAGGCAGGTTTCTGTGAAATGCCTTTTGGTAGGTAAATATAACCTTTCAAAAGGCAGCTATGGTTTTAGACAGCTGGGAAATGACAAAACATTTGCATTCTATCAATGGACTATGGCCAAACTTTCCATGCAGAAAGAGCTGTTTTTCACTAAACAAAATGACAGGAAGCTTTGGCCAAGGAAAACCACTAAAGCAACAATTTTACTGTGTAAAACAAACAGTATACCTTTTCCACTTCACAAATCCCACTCCCTTCTAGCACTAGCGGTGTTACCTAGTTGGGTAATGAAATGTCTTCAAGAAAACCACCAAGCCCAGAGAGCACTGAGGATCCCACAGTCCTCCTCTCCTACAAACCCTACTCTCTCCTCGCACTGATAATGTTACCTAGTTGGGTAATGAAACGTCTGCAAGAAAACGAAGCTCAGAGAGCACTTGGGAACCCAACAATATTAAACATTCGCAACAGAGGAAACTGGGGGGGGCGGCAGAATTGAAGTGTTGTGTTCAAGGCTTTAACCTACTAGATCCCACAAGGAAACCCCAATCCAGAGAACGAATTGAGGTGGAGTGGCAGGTGCTAAGGAAGATGCCTTTTGGGGAGGGGGGGGGGCCCTCGTGTCCAATTAAGGGATGGGTGCTAAAGGTCCTCTGAATGCCTGCCAAACCAGAAAAACTTGTATTTTGTTGAGCTTGCACCGGAGAGGCCCCTGAGGAAAAAGTGAGTGCGTCGGACAGGTTTGCAAATTGGAACAGCCTGGGAGTGCCAGCTGTTCCTGGCCTTATCCAGGGGAGGAAAAGAAAAGGGGGGGGGGAAGGTGTGGAAAAAAATAGCGACTTCTGACTTTTGAAGGGCGAAGAAAAACATTGCGTGGAGTTTAACATTTCACGGTGCACAATCCGGCTGTTGTTTTTCAGCCTCCTTTTGACATCTGGTGAGAGAGCTTGGGCAAAAATGATTGTGTTGGATCCCAGATCCTCTCCGTATGAAGACAGGTGATTTTTTTTTTTTCAAGGGTGTTTTCATTTTATTTTTGTCGGGGGGAACCATCAACGCTTGCTGCCTTTTGTTCCTTTTTCTGTCCATTCAGCAAAAGCCACTCCGTCTCTTGGTGATAAGGGATGCCGTTCTGGCAATAAAAATACATCCTGAGCATTTTGGTTTTTTTTGGGGGGGGGGCGGGGGAATGTAGAAAGAAATGCCTTGATAAGAGGCAGATAAATGGATTGTACATGTAGTCCTTGATGTACAACAGTTCACTTAATGACCATTCAAAATTAACCATGCCACTGAAAAATGTGACTTAGGGCCGTTTTTTACACGGCTGTTGCAGCATCCTCCCGATCACGGGATCAGAATTCAGATGCTTGGGAGCTAGTTCACATTTACGACGGTCACAGTGTCCCTGGGGCCAACATGATCCCCTTTGGCGACCTTCTGACAAAGTCAACTCGGAAGCCAGATTAACCGCCATGTTACCAATGTAGCAACTGCGGTGATTCGCTTAACTCTAGCAAGGAAGGTAATAAAACAGAGCAACGCTCACTTTTAACAAATGTCTCACTTAACAGAAATTTCATCCTCGTTTATGGTCGTAAGCCAAGGACTGCCTGTAGTATTAAAATACCCACCCACCCTGATTCCCTCCATTCCTGAGCCAGGCCAGCCAGCCTCTGCAGATACCTCGGCTGTTTACTAGCAAAGCCCCAGATCAGGTTCAGAGTTTGACCCAGAACTTGTGATGATACGATCTGACGGTTAAAAGCAGAACCCTCCCCCCCCCCCCCCCAAAGATATAACCCTTGGCTGAGTTACTGGGAATTGGGTTTCGATGGAGGCTGTGTCTAGGATCCTGGTCTAAGCGGGGTAATCCGGCTGCCTATCGTGGCTTGCAAGAGAGCAAGCCCCCATGCGTGTGCGCGCGACTGTGCTTTCTTTCGTCGGCCTGTGTTATAGAACCTGAACTGGGAGCCTCCGATCCGAGCTCAACCGAGCGCGCTTGTGCCAGATCCGTGTCTGAAAACGACGACAGGCTTGTGATTTTGCTGACTCGGTGGGGTCTCCATGCAGCATTTGAGAGAGGAGAGAAAGAAGGTGCAGTGAGTAAGAGGAGGAGGAGGAGGGAGGCTATTAGAAGCGTGGGGAGAACCATTTCACAGAAGCCTCTAAAACCAGCCTCACAAGCCGCAGCACGCTCTGGCCTTCTGTGTGTGTGTGTGTGTGTGTGTGTGTGTGTTGCGCCTCCCCTTGTCTGCTGAACGAGCAGGGAATGTGGGATTTAATCCCGGCTATTTTTACTAAGAATCGTGTGTGTGTGTGTGTGTGTGTGTGTGTGTGTGTGTGTGTGTGTCCCCAAACCCTTTGCCTAAAACAAGGGAGCCGCGAGACTGGTTTGAGGATTCGCTGGTTCCCAAACTACCTACAGTTAAAATTAAAGGGGCTTAAACAGGAAACAAGCTGCAATTATTATTATTGAAAGAAAGTTGACGTTTTTTTAGCCAGTCTACGGTCACACTAGAAAGAAAAGGGAGGGAGGTAGAACCATTCAACCAGGGTTTGATTTAAACTAGCTCGGCCAACTAAGAAATAAAACAAACAAACAGCCTTTTTTTTAAAAAAAAACAACCAAATAAATAGACCTTAAAAGGGAGGCGAGTAGAGTGTGACAGATGTAAAAAAAAAAAATGCTTCCAAGACGCGCGATAAAATGGAGAAAATTAAAAGTATCTGAATAAAAGCCTCAGAAGAGCCTAACGGTCAGGCCCAACTTGGAAGAAGAGGACCAAGGGGGTTGTCCTGGCAGACTCCCATGCCGAACAGGAAGCCTTGAGGGTACATCCTGTCGGGGAAAGCAAGTGGCCAGCCTGGAGCCATTCCAGAGCCTGGGAATCTCTTCTCCGGAGGCTTTGGCATGTCTCACTTCAAGGGGGAGGCCCCACGCTGACTTATAAAGCTTCCAGCTGGAGGTTTGGCAGCTTTTTAACGGCTCAAGAAGTTACAGCAATGGAGCCCAAAAGGGGGGTTTCAAAGGCTGGAGAGTCAAATGGAAAGAGGATCAAGCCCTAGGAGAGATCTCCCCGTTGGCCTTCGGCAACCGTTTCCCCTTCCCTCTTCGTTAGCAACCTTCAACTTCCAGCGTTTGGCCGTAGGTGGAAGAAGCTGAATCAT